AATCAGCTTCGACATCAGCCTCTCAAGGCTCTGTTAGGAGAAAGCTTCCTCGCTGGGGTAATGGTCACCTGCATGATGCGTCCAGTGAGTGGAGACCGCATGTGTCTGGAGTGCAGTGGCATCGCTAGGTCGAATGAGAGCGTTCGCGCGCAAACAGCGTGGCTCCAAGCAAGGCTGAGTGGCGTTCAGTTTTAATCCTAGGATAAATATCCTTTGCGAACGAAGGGCGACTGAAGTGGCTGAGATGCATGCTGCTGTGGATACAGACGCATCATTACCGACTTTGGTGAGAAGAACCGGCGACGCCGGTCGCGAAGTGCGGGCTAGCCGGTGAGTCAGACGCCCACCATGGTACTGTTACCGACGTGAAAGGCGTTGACTCGAAAGTTTAGCGAGGTTGCAAGGCAGCCGCAGCGTCGACCTGTGACAGGGTTGGTTCATCTGCAGATGGCGAGGCAGAGGCTGTGGCGCACCTGGTGGGCTGCAATCCTCCGCATGTCGGCTAGCGTGTTTTTCTATATGGTCTTGGCACTATGCAGCATCACCACGCGGGCTGGGACTTCGCCCCGGAGACTCACTGATTATTTGCGACTTAGGGTAGTGTTAAACAATCGTTCGTGTGTGATGGTGTCACAGAGCAGGAATGATGTAGAAGTGGTGATGAGATTCATTGGTAGACATGCCGTCTGGATATCAAACGCCCCTACGCCCTTTCTTTTGCCGTACACCTATGCTAGCCTCTCTAGTTACCCAACCAGTCTAAGAACTCTGGCGTGAAGTAGCTGACCACTATCGAAGCTCCCGCTCGGAGTATGCCCTGCGTAGCCTCTTCCGCCATCTGCCTCAAGTCGAACACACCTGCAGCTGCGGCTGCGTGGATCATAGCGTATTCTCCAGACACCTGGTATGCTGCAATGGGCATGTCCTTGCCAATTTCCTTTGCGTCGCTAATGATGTCGAGGTACTGACTCGCAGGCTTGACCATGATGATGTCCGCACCCTCACCAATATCTCTGACAATGGCTCGTCGTGCCAGACCGCGACCGCCGGGAGGTAATTGGTAGCATCTTCGGTCGCCAAACGAGGGCACTGAACCTGCAGCGTCGCGGAAGGGACCGTATAAGCATCCTGAGAACTTGGCGGCATACGACATCAGCACAACCTGGTGCGAGATGCCGGCTTCGATGAGCCTCAGCTTGATGGCGCGTATGCGACCATCGTTCATGTCTGAAGGCGCAACGCAATGCGCGCCGGCATTGGCATATGAGAGCGCTACATCCGCAATTCGCTCTACTGACAATGCATTGTTCAAGCTGCCATCCTCCTTGAGGATACCGCAATGGCCGTGTGAGGTGTATTCGCAGAGGCAGACGTCCGCGACGATGAAGAGATCGGGGAATGCTCGTCGCAGCAGGCGGATGGCCTTAATGACGGGGCCCTTGGGGTCGTCTGCGTTGGTACCCAAGGCGTCCTTTGCTGAGGGTGCGAGTGGGACTCCGAACAGTATGACGGACTTGAGGCCCTTCGCGACAAGTGGGGTAAGGTATGGCACGACCTTGTTCAGGCCTCGGCGATGGATGTTCGGTAGGGAGGGAATGAGAATCTCTTCGTCAGGCTGGTCGGAAATGAAGAGGGGGTAGATGAGCATCGACTGTATTGATAGTTAGCTTCCGTCATAGGCTCATGGCGTCATGCCTCGCACCTTTGTGAGCTGTCGCTCGGCCTGCCATGCTCGCGACAGAGGGTGGCTGTATCCTCCATGCAATTGGCTCTTGATATCTCCGGATATGCTCACACTCGTCGCGGCAGTGCTGGCGTAGGATCGGGTGGAACGCGCTTCCGATATTTGGGAGCGCAGGTCGGGTCGCTCTGGCCGCTCCGAATTGTTCCGGTATGCGATGTCTGAGACGAGCGAGGAGAACGACATGGCGGAGAGAAATCAATAATGTCTTGTAGGTTGGTGAAGGAATCGAAGAGTTCAAGTCCCGCCTGTGCAAAGAAAGTGGAATGCCGCTGACGTTGGCGTCGGGGAAAGGTGGCGTTCGTAGTAAATGCGGACAGCCGAGGCGTCAAGTTTCACTCCGACTATAGCGATCGCACTTTGAGTTTCAGAAAATCGGAGAACGGACAAACGCAGAGACGAGATGGGGGTATCGGAATGAAGAGAACACTTTGAAGCGCAATTCCTTAAAAGATTGTGAAATCTACACGGTTTGCGACGACTACTATACGCATGTAAGCTGCAAATTGTCTCCGGCGCCCAATCATATGCGCAGGATTACTGAGAATCAAATGTGGCCTAGCGTCGGATGGTGTTAGTCAGCTCCCAGGTCGAGAAGTCGGGACTGTCTCGGGAATCTTGGAAGCGCATCGTGCTCCATCACATGATGCATCGTCGAAGTAAACACCTGTGCAGTCGCGCTCCAAGCGCACACGATCGATCCTCAGCCTCTTCCACGACAAGATGATGTCGTTGTTTCGAGTCGCGAGAACCCAGCGGGGCGCACGCCTTTTATGACGATGTGGCTGGCTCACAATTTCCCGTCTCTGGCCGTCTGTCTACCCACCATCGCAACTTCCACCCTTTCATCGGCCCGTCTACAATGGAGTCTTACTTTTGTCTTATACAGTCGCCATCGTTCAGTAATCGGGACGTCTGTCGCCGCCGCTGATCAACATCAATCTCAACATGACCGGACGTGGCTACTTTGCAAAGTTACTCCTCAACTCAACAATGTGACCGCGCAGTATGCGATGCGAGCCAGCACCAACATTAACATGGTACCGCAGTATCCTAATCAGATGCAGACGCCAGGCAGATAACGCCACGTACAAAGTCTCTGTCGTATACCCACCAAAATCAATACGGACAGGACCCTCAAAGCAAAAAGCAACAACACAAAACGAAAACATCAGCTTCGGAATGCGATGTGTTGAGACGAAGGGCAAAGCGGGGTCGCCTTCTCAACCTATGAGCACTTTCGATAACCCACTGTATTCGCTTACGGCTCGCATGGACACAACGTGTATACCGACGTCGTGCTTTCTTTTTCGACATCGCAAGACCCCGCTGCCCCTAGCTTGAACCCTAACCTCGAAAACAAACATCACAAAGCAAAACCTCTATACCTAGCGACCATGCCCAGCACTCGGTTAGGCTAAGAAGAGAAACTCCGTCCAATAGTGCCACACCATCATTTTCATTATTCTTACTAGTCTAGGGAGCACTGGGCGCTACCCCGAGTGCCGCGTCGCTCCCTTGACGGTTTTCACTGCAAGCCGACAGAAACGGCAGTCCACAATCACTGTACTGACATGGATGATTGCGCGCCGTCAGCGCGGGGCAGCTAACGTTAGACCCCGTAGGCCGTTCATCATCTTGGTGTTGCGCATATCACGACAAACAAAGTATAAGCCGTGCGTCTTGTGAAAGATAAACACCAGGTATATATGTAGAGGGCATGCAAGGCACACGAATCCCTTCTCACCCCTGCAAACATCACAACTCAACTCAGCTCGGTGACTCGATTGACTCCTCCAATCATGTCTGACCTACGCGCTCCCACCGTTGCTGTCAACTTGACACTGATTGTGTTGACTTCACTCGCTATCAGCTGTCGTGTTGGGAGGAAGATCAAGATAATGAGCAGCTTTGGCTGGCATGATGGTGAGCTCAGTCTACTTCTTTCCACCCGAATCATCATACTAACTGACATGAAGCTCTTGCTGTCTTTGCCGGGACTTGCGCCATCGTCTTATCATGCATTCAGATGTATGCGACACGTCTGGGAGCTGGTCTGCACGAGGCAGACATCGACCCGGCCAATATGGAGATGCTCCTCAAGGTACATCAAACCCAACCCACGATCACCATCTTCCACTTACTGACTCAACACCCCAGATGGTCATGGCCGCCCTCATCTTCTACTTCTCCGTCAACTGGGCCGTCAAGCACTCGCTACTGATCTTCTACACCGAGCTCACCTTCGAGCCGTGGGCCCGCCGTTGCATCTTCATCATGCACATCGTCGCCTTCTCCTTCGGTCTCACCTGCGTCGTAACCAGCATCTTCCAATGCATCCCCGTGGCAAAATGGTGGGACCCAACCATCGAGGGCTACTGCATCAACCTGAGCGATTTCTCCTACTTCAACTCGGTCTTCATGGTCGCCTGCGATGCCGTCCTCTATATCCTCCCCGTCATCTTCACCTGGAATGTTAAGCTCAGGCGCCACCACCGCATCGCCGTTAACTTCCTCTTCGCTTTGGGCGGACTCGTTCTTGCTGCAAGCGCAACTCGCGTCTACTTCGTCCACAGACTCGCCATCATGGGCGACTTCCCCTTCCAATACGCCGCATCCATGATCTGCGCCGTCGTGGAGAACCATCTCGCAGTCATCGTCGCCTGCGCACCTAGCATCAAAGCCGTCCTCATCCGCTACTACCCCAGCCTGCAAAGCAAGTTCGAACGTATCATCAGCGACGAGGGCTCGGGCTCAAAGGGCAAAGCATACCGGACTGGGAGCAGCGATCGTGCTACATATGACCCTGAGGCTGGAACTAATGGCAGCGAGGATGTCAAGCTGCAGATTGTCAAGACACAAGATGTCAAGATTGAGAGACCAGATGCGAATCGCATGATCACAGGTAGCAGTGGCAAGAGTGAAGGTAGTCTGCTAGGACGCTGGTGGCGGGCACCTAATAACTGGAACGTCAGCGTCGAGAGCCAGGGCAAGTGAGATAAAGGATTTTGTATATTCGTAGTCGTCTCGAGGTTGATTCCCCCTTCCTTCTGTTCAGTATCATACCCATGTAGTCCTCAACCACCAAGTTCATATTCATATCCACCACTTCTCACACCTCCGTCCTCCTCCACGCCCCCTCATCATCTCCTAATCTCACCCCCAAACCACCCCAAATCCCTCCCGCCCTCACTCAACATCCTCCCACTCCTCCTCCCCACCCCCAACCCTCGGCACCCCACCCGGCCCCAACAACGGCCTATTCCCTCCCGTCCCAATATGAACGAAGCCAAAAGGCTCACCAATGCACATCTCCCTCTCCTCCTCATACTCCACTTCCCTTTCACCGAAACCAAGCGCAATCTTGATCTTAGCCCATAATCTCTTCCAGAAACCGTCTGACTCGACGATCTCGGCTTCGGTGACAGGCTGGGGCAGCGCGGTGATGCTGGTGTCTTGCGCGTCTTTGAGGTTGGCGAGGGTGGGGTTCGCGAGGTGGTGGGATGTGTTTGGCCGTGAAGAGGAATTGGTGTCGGCGAAGAGGATGGAGGTCATGGGGAGGAGGTGCTTTGAGTCGTTTTGGGCCATTTTGTTTTAAGGCGCGGGGTTTTGTAGAGATTATATGGTGTGATGTGCTTTGCGCGCTGGTGTTTGTCAGTGGCTGTATTGCAGAGATATGCAATGCGAGTGTAGAGGTACGGCGAGGTTGTAGCTGGCTACGAGTCTGAGAGACGGGGGATATCTCTTTGTTGTGGTCGCGGCGCGTGTCTCAGTTCGTTTGTTTGGAGGTTGCGTCATTGCGCAAACGGTGGGTTGGATGCGACGGTGAACGCGAGTTGCGTACGCGGGGTACGGGCGCGCTCATAGTGGTCTGATCTTGGGGTGGATAACGCGTTCATATTGTTATGAGCAGAGTTATTCTCCATGAACTCTATTATGCGCTGAAGTAAACTGCGAGCTCCTATCGAATTGGTGTACTACTACAATGCGACTGGTTCATCGCCTGAGCACGGCTCGCGACGGCTTTTGACCTATTGATCATCGTGACCACGCGGTAGATAATGCATGCGGTGTACCATTCGATACGAGAAACTATAGTCTACCCTAATGGCCTGTTCATACCCAGTCATCATGAGGTGCTTGAGAACATAGCCTCAGGCCTCGGGGCAAGATTTACTGCAAACGCGCTCACCGTCTCCTCGGCTTGGGCATCGCAGCCTATCGCAGGCAGAACTGGACCTCATTCCTTGCTCTTGAACAACTGTATAATGCTATCACAATATCTAGAGAGTGGCGGCAAACGAGCTAGGGTGTGTTTCGTATATCGAGAAAGGCGCGGTGGTACTTCGGTTGTCGTCGCGTCCACTCCAAGTCTCGTTCGTTATTGCTGCCCGTACGCGATCAGAATTATGTAAAATCTCAAACTCATGCCTGCAAGAAGAGAGAAATAGTCGCATACATGAGAGCATTGAAGTGGAAGAATGCGCGTTCAAGCAGGTCAAGCCAAGAAGGACGTTGGCAGTCGCCGCGCGGCGCGACTACCTAAGTAATCAATCGGGCTTACTTTGTATGCACCTCAACCAAGCAAACCGAGATCAATCCCCGTTCGCATCCGTCCGCTTGACAAAACATCAAGATCAGATCTACTGCAACATTGCTTCCCCAGATTCCGTTGCCGATGGTTAAACAATCTGGGGTAAAGTTGCCCACGGAACGATTTGTGCCACCAATCACACGATACAGCACCAACGATGCTTCCTCCACACTTCCCCGCAAAGTCACGATGGCAATGGCAAACAGCGCGCATGTTCGATAGTCGGCCCGTAGAGGTAAGCGCGACGGAATAATTACAGACTGTAGTAATCGCGTAAAGGGGTGCATTTCGTCAATCTAGTATAAGAACCCGGCCGTTCCGATGGACGGGTACCGAACACCAGGTCAATCGTTCTCTGCCAATCAACATGGTGTCTCGTCTGATACAGTTCCTTGCATTTGCAGGTACCCTTTCCGTGGTGTCTGCCGACAAGTACACAAGAACCAAACCCGACCGAGGCGCGATAGTCGTCGATGCATCCGGCGCAACCAACGGCAGCTATCCCAGCATCAGTGCCGCAGTAGACGCACTGCATAACAAGACCGATGCCCAGAAGATCTTTGTCGTCGCCGGGATATACAACGAACAAGTCTACGTCCCTCCTCATGCTGGCCCCATCACCATACAAGGTTCCACGAAGGATGCTCGCGGCTACAAGGACAACGAAGCCACCTTGACATACAATCTCTCGCGCAATACACCCGGCCTTGCCAACAACGACGCAACAGCCACCCTCCGCTTGAACACAACGAACATCCGCGTGTACAATCTGAACATCGCCAACACCTTCGGTGCAGCCGAGAAGAACGGCCAAGCCCTCGCCCTCAGCGCGCAAAAGACGAACCAAGGTTTCTACGGCTGCAAGTTCACCGGCTACCAAGACACCATCTACGCCAACATCGGGCGTCAAATCTACGCAAAGTCTTTCGTCAATGGCGCGGTAGACTTCATCTTCGGTCTACGCGCCATCGCGTGGTTCGACAAGATCGACATCGAATCCATCGGTCCTGGCTGGGTTACTGCGAACGGTCGCGAAGCTGAGAACAACACCAGCATATACGTCTTCAACCAGGTCAATGTGTCCGGAACCAACGGCACGAATTCGACCTTCCTTGGCAGGCCGTGGAGACCGTACTCTAGAGTGGTCTTCCAGGATAGCTATCTGAGCGATGTGGTGAAGCCGGAGGGATGGGCGAGGTGGGATAATGTACAGAGTGTGGATAATGTTGTTTACCAGGAGTACATGAACTACGGGCCTGGCGCAAATCCAGAGGCAAGGGCAAACTTCTCATCGCAGCGGGACGCGCGGATCAAGGCGTCGGATTTGTTTGGGGTGAACTTTGAGAAGGAGAACTGGGTTGATGCGGATTATTTGTAGATATCTCATAGAATCTGAGAGAAGCAGCGTTGTACGATAGACTTGAAAGAGGTAGTAATTGTAACACTCGGTGTTCTTCAACCCCGCGCCCTATAGCATCGCGTGCGAACTAAATGAGGACATTTTATGCCGAAAGCACTCATGAGAGGCAGACCTGGATCGGTTGGTAGTCCGACAAGCTGTTAGAAGTCGTATAGTGGGTTGGGTGGTTGCGAATACGCGCGGTTGGTAGGGGCGGAAAGTCCGATTGCCGGGAGTGGGGCATCACGTGACTATCCGCTCTGGCGGGCACCACCTGGGCATCCATGTATCTCCAACAGAGCGCAGGATCACTCACCACAATGCGATTCCGAGCTCTTTGGGCTTCTACCCGCTGCAGTGTATGGTATCGTGACGCGTAGATATGTTCCCACTTTGATGCTGTCGTCGCTTGTTCTTTGGCATACGTCATCATCTTAATTGCCCAGGAGCGCAAGCTCTACGGCACACGCAAACATCGACAAAAAGTAGCGTCGAAAGCACTGGCGTTCGGTGTCATGCTTTTCCGCAGCTGTCATAGATAAGTAAGAGTGGATTTGTACGGGAAGCAGATGCCGAACGCCTAGAGATCGGCTTTGCGGCTTGATGGTGACGTTTTGGCAACATCACAGGCACGTCAAGGAGGGAGTGTGATAAACATTCGTAGACATATGGCCGTGAGTTTCTGCGAACAAAGACTTTATGCCTGTAAATCCCCGTAATCTACTCGACAACACCAAAACACAAAATGGCATCAAGATTCCTCCAGAGCTTCTCGCGCTCAGCGCCCATTGCGACCCGCTCCGTCCAATAACATAGCGAAGGTGACTACCCTCACCCCAAAACAAAAGAACAACAATCAACACACCTCCTTCCAGTTCTCGCACCAGTCATCACCCGCACATACGCCAGCAGCGCCGCACCCGGCCAATCATCCAACGTCTCAAACCCCCAAGCAAGCAGCGCTGAGAGCCAGTCCATCAACAAGAGCGCCTCAGTCGGCCAGACCGACAAGAACGATGGCGACCACGCATCAATACAAAACCCAGTCAGCCATCCAGAGCAAGACCGCGCACGCGCGACGGAAGAGACAACGGAGAGTCAGGACAACATGAAGCATGACCCGAAGGAGTCGGATGCGAAGAAGAGGGAGAAGACGCTGAATTATGGGCAGAACAAGCCGCTGGATGCGGCTGATAAGTAGAGTTTGACATGGGAGACAATTGGTTATCCAGCGAACTTATGGAGCATTGAAACCTGTAATAGCACTTCGAACACTGTCGATGCGATCTTGACCGCAAACCCCAAGTGGTGATGAGGCACCGTAGGTTGACACAAAATGTTCACACACTGTGTTTGAACTGAGACGGAGCCATTGCTGTTTTGGAATCATTACTCGAGTAGCGATCATCGTCTTGATATACGATGCGGTCGCATCAAGTCCTCGATGTCTTCGCTGTTGCTCCCAATCTTTTCCGATGGCCGACTATCAGGATTTCTGTACAGTGTAATGCTGTTCATCGAACGAGTATCGGGCCTGTAGAGAGTGAGGAGGTGTCAAGGGCGACATTGTGATGACGCATAGCCAGTGTGTGAGATTATCGGGCTGACATAGCAATGTTCGGCTTAGCTCATCAGCACATAGTTATGGAGCGCTCTCCATCAGTGAACAACGATTGCCATTCCGTCCCAATGTCGCGGTCGAATGGTGCCCGGAATTGCCCCAGTCTCTCGTATACTCTGTCTTCGTACATGTTTATCTCTCTCAGCAACAAGCCCACCACTATATTGTCTGCATGGACAAGTGCCGCAAGTAGAAACATGCTTCCGTTTTCGGGCTTCTCATTCGGCTCATCCATAGTGACGTAGAGACGTTCAAAACCCTCCTCTTTCAAACTTTCTGTGTTTTCATAGCCGATCGGCCCACCCAGCGTCCATTTGATAGGTCTAGACCAGGCTCGAATGGTCAGCAGTATCATCTTCTCCATACATGGTCTTCGCTCGCTTTTATCAAGGGGGAAAAGCCTGTACTCTTCTGCGATTGCTATAACCGTCAAAGACGCTCCAACAAATGGTCGCGTTCTCAATCGGCCATTCATCGATGCCCAGCTCCATGTTGGCGTGACCACCCAGCTGCCATCCAACATCTGGCTAGAGGACCTGGGCAGCCTTTGTGGTGGCCTTTCATCAGTACGGAATGAATGTCCAGGTGCACGATTTGCTCTCCAGTTCAGACTTTGTGGGAGCGTTTTCCAGAAATGGCCAGCAAGATACGTGTCGTTTAATGCGTAGTGCATGCAGCTTGCGATAGCCGAGATAGCAATCAACTTGTCCGCTTGGGGATATGTGAGCTGCCTCGCACTGTAATCGACAAGGATCTTAGACCAAGTATCCTCTAAAGTCCGGCTGTCTAAGGCCTGCGGAATGGAAGTTATCTGAAGACCCAGCGCTTCATTCAGAACTGCCCTCGTAGGGTCAGGACAAAGTTCGAAGCCGCGTGGAAGAGATTCGCTTGCGTTTGGGACCCGTACACAGTCCCAGAAAAGTTCTCCATGGCCAATGCTCAAGACGCGAGTAGCCAACAGGCGTTCTTGTAGG